TAGCATAAGCGCGGCTAACGCTAATATAATGAGCATTAGAATGAATTTTGTTCAAAATAGTTTCTTTAACTATTTAATGCTCCTATAACTTTTATTTCTGGTCGGCGTTACAGAGCACCGAATACCAGGACAGCCAGGCACAAGAACAGTTTCTTTCCCCAGGCAATCTACCTCATGAACAGTTAATGTTCTCCCATTGTGCAATTATAGTACAGTATGTGCAATAACCTTATACTTATTTATCACCCTAAACCCTAGTACATCCCTACAACTTATTTTATTTTATTCTATTCCTACTCCATCTATAGCACACCTGTACATACAATTTATTATTTTTTTGTGGTTTAAATTTATGCATGTGTATTTTATTCACATCTCATTTTTATTATCTGTGTGTTATTGTTGTCTCCGTGTACTGGAAGCTTGTGACACTATAACAAATTCCTTGTATGTGCAAACATACTTGGCAATAAAGCTCTTTCTGATTCTGACAGAGAGAGAGAGAGAGAGAGAAAATCAATGGGCCGTTTGGGACAGAGCCTATGAATTATGAGGAGCACTCTTGAGCTCTGGGGACCAGCTTACACTCGTTCCTGGATCACGAGTCAGACCGAACCGATTAAGTGATTCGACTCGCTCTGCATCTTTCACACGCTGCAATCACTCAGTGCGCTTGGTGAACCGATTCACCCAAAGAATGATGCTTCGCGATCGACGGTAAATTACATATTATGCTTTGAAATGTAGTGAAGCAAAATTAGTTGTTTCTCATAATGAAAATGAGGGCAGACAGATTTACTGCATTTAGTTTGCAGGTAACTGACACGTGGAAAGCAGTAATAAAGTGTGTCCTGCCATGTTAGTCGTATTTAACCCACACTTCTCTCCATTACGTACTATGTGCTTATCCCGAGTTAAAAAAAGAAAAAGTAATATACTTAAAACACATTTATTTCACACCTAGTATAGTTCAAATCTATTAACATATGTACTGACATATTGCTCGAGGCTTACTGATATAAAACTTATAATTCAACTTTATTTGGAGTACTGCTTGTGCACAATATTTTAATATTAAGCCTAAAATGTGTTTTAATGTCACTATTGATGAGGATCGTATGATCTTTGAATAATATCAGTCTTTAAATGCAAGATTTGAAGTGTACCTGAAGTATACTTGCAATAGTTCCACTTTAGCACAATCTAATATACTTCAGTACATCTTTAGTTGAACTTCAGCATTACTTCTGCACAATTAAAGAGCATTAAAATGAGCTGTTCCAATTTAGCAGACTTTAAGTATAGTTTAGTATAGCAAAAGTACAATTGCAGGGTATTTTATCAAGTAGATAATTATGTAACTGTATTTGTAGTGTAATTGGCATGAAATAAATGTATTTCAAATACATCTTAGCATATTTATCATTATTCTATATGAAGGAATAAACTTTTCACAGATCATTCAATTCAAAACCAATACGTTAGCCCAAATACCAGCTTACTTTGAAGCGGTTTGTAATGAAGGCATTGTGAACTTGCTCTGCTTTCGCACCTCACATACGTGACCGACAGATGTCTACAGCATTCACTCATTCGTCTGAAACCTGAGAGGCAGCATCCAGAGGCCCGTCCAAATCCTGAGATGATATCCCACAATCCTCTGCTTGCACTGCTGTGGCTGCTGAGCTGACGGGAGAAACCGCACGCGTTTCATCGGTCCTGAGCGTCCAGTGATCATCAGTCAAGTGTGCTGACGCAGAGGCACATCATCGTCCAGGTCAGATCAAACATTTTATTGTTGCGGTTTCTTTTTTAAAGACAATCTGCTGTTGTAGTTTACACTAATCTTAAAATGTAGGCATTCAACTCAATATTTTATTTAACATAATTCATATTGCAGTCATCGTGAACAACTGGGATTTCAATATACACAACAGAATTGTAACATTGTACGCAACCCTTCCTAACCCTACGACGATCCTCCTCAGGAAAATCCCATCCCACCCATCCCAACCAGGAAAACTAGAGCAAAACATCGCAGGTCTCCCAAGCTCACAACAGCCCAGTTAGCAGACGGATCCTGCCGATCTCGTGTTAACTGGCCTCTAGTTTCAACGGGGTATCAATTTGTCAGTGCTATCAGAATTGGTCGAAGGCGACGCTGCACGCGTCTTTTTGGCGAACGTAAGAATGAGTGACTAGTTGAATATCTGCGACTCGAGGCAGTTTCGCGAAGCCCAGACGAATGGGGTCCTCAAGCCTGGGTAATGAATACAAGTGTAATGATCTGTCTCGCTCTCTGTGAGTGGGAGGATGAGTTAGCAAAAATAAACAGTGGGTACCAGCATAGTGGCAAAATACGACTGGATTCTCTGAGCAACAGTCACTGACCAGCGCCCCCCCCCCCCCCTTCTGTGTGCGGTCAGTGTGTCGGTCAGTGCGTCTCAGCGCATGTAAACGATAAATGCATTCTGGGATGTGAGGGCCGGCGGCGTGGACTATTTGAGACAGCGCTCGAAGTAGGTGGCGCCCACGTATCCGCCGCGCAGCGAGCGCTGGACGTTCTGCTCGAAGAGCCGCCGGTTCGTCTGCAGCACCTCCGCCGCCTCTTTGTTCAGGGGGTCTTCAGGGTTGGGCTCCTGCAGCAGGGACACACAGAGACCACACAACACCAGCTGCAGTTAATGTGTGCAGGTGAACGCCAGCAGGAAATAAACCAGAGAAACTCAGCAGGGCGTGAGGTTCATGTCACCAGCATCTAAACACAATGAGCAGCAGAGCTGAACGTACCAGGAACAGATATTGTAGTCCGTATATGATGGAGTTAATCGTCAACACTGGCTTCCAGTCTTCTCTGAAACAGAAGGAGTGATGCTGAATGTCAGGATCACACACTGATACTTCATTACATGACTGATAATTCAACAACTGTCCAACTTTCTACCCTTTATCCCCGTTATACTCTGGTTGCATTCTGTCATTCACCTGAAAGGCTGTACAGGATAATAGGGGTTTGTGATATACCGGTAAAAATTCTCCCCACGATAAGAACTAGTCTTCCCGCGATAATAACGATAAAGTCTAGTTGTTGACATATTTCTGTGTGCGACCGTGCGGAGCGACATCGTGGAAGGCGGACGTGAAACTGAAACCTCTTAAACCTGTGGTCCAACAAAGAGATTTATTGACAAACTTTTACGCCGTGTCCTAACTACACGCGATGCGACGCCACGACACACGATAAACGGTATCTTTTCCATGTTAATCAGAGGTTTTGTCCTAACTAGCCGCAACGTGCAAAATTTCTATTTTAGAAACAGTTTCTATTTCAGCGACGTCACAGCTGGAACAACAACATTCAAACTATATGACAGTGATAATCTCAGGTACTGATTATGTGCTTTATTCAAAGCTAAACGTGTCTAATATGAGTTTAAATATCATAGTGCGTGGCATTTATAGCCATACTTAAAGCAACAACAGTCAGTTTACCTCAGATCTTGAAAATAAAGCAAAGATGTACGTTAAAACTGTGACTCACTGCGAACCAACAAGTGTATTCCATAAAGATGGTATCAGTCACTCAGTATGTACTTTTAATGTTAAAAAGGTTTAATATTTATGAATTAGATTATAAACTTATCCATTTTTTTGTGAGTGCAGAGCGCGTCCAGAGAGGCTCTGCCCACACACGCTTCTGATTGGCTGTGATATTTGATTGATTCTGTCGCATCCCATCTGGTGTGGACACGGGGTTACTCCAAATATACTTCATAACATCAGTCAAGTGATTAAAATAACTTATTTTTGTGACCAGACCTGGTTTCACATTACAGAAAGAGGCAGAAATCCTATGTCGATTAGCATTGCATTATAAATATACTTTATTCTTATAAAAAAAATACCCCAGATGGCTTGAAAAACACAGATGAACTATATATTGTCACAATTGTGTTTATTGTCTTCATGTTTGATCAGTTTAAGTGTTTCTATCTTCTTTTTACTCAGCAATAGCTGGGTGTCTTTGTCCATATTATGGATTTCCTGAAGCATCATCAGTTATTACTTCTGTGATGCATATGTGGAGTTTCTGCGCGAGGGCGCCCTCTAGCTTCCAATATGAATGATACAGACATTACATTACGTGTGTGCTCACAACACCCTATTTTTTTGTCTCTCAGTTGATGCATACGAATTATCATTGATATCGTTATCACAATAAATACCAGATAATATTGTGATACAGTTTTAAGTCCATATCGCCCATTCCTACAAGATAAGCATCAATGCACACTAAATGTTCTGGATTTAGTGTTTGGTCGGGACCCAGTGTTGGGGATTTCCCATGTGGATGTTGACTGAATAACTGTGTAGGAGATGTTTGGTGTGCAGGGCTGCAGATGTCCTGAGGTCAGCGTGAAGGACTCTGGAGAAAGCCAGCGCTGCTACGGACCGAGCTCAATCAGACACTCGGGAGAACTCTGTGCTCCAGGCTTCATCTGGATTAGGGGTGTAACGGACACAAACATGACGCTTTGCTACGTACCTCAGTTTTGACTTCACGGTTCGGTACAGCGGAGGGAAAAACTTAAAATTGCTTTTTTTTTTAATTAAACAGTAGGTAACTGAACAAATTGCCCTCTCTTTAAACAAATTTCAATTATAATTAATTTTCTTAGGGACAAAAATCTACCTCAGTTTACGCTCTACTATAGGGAGCCCTTTTACATTACTATAAGGTTACAATTAACAACAGAGCCCAAACTTAAATTCAATTACTGTTTATTTTTAAAAAGAATAATCAACACTCGATTTAAAAAAAATTTACGCAAACATATAAATTTATCATAATGCAGTTTTTAAATTAACTTCTAATTATAAAATTTCTATTTGTTGTTGAAATTAGGGCTGCACGATAAATCGCATGTGATATTTAATGCGCATCTCGTCAGTAAAGCCGGTTCTGTGATCAGCAGTAAATCTCCATCACATGCTTTCAGATGGAGCGGCATTTACTACAGAGCCGTAGTTCACTGACAAGCTACGCAAAAAAAATAAAAAAATAATTGCAGACGATATTATTGCACGATTATGATTATGATCAGAAGTAACCTGCTCTGTCTTCTGTCGGTGTGTTGTCAGTTTCCTCTTTGCTCTGCGATGTATTTTTCACTGCATGAGAACCAGTGTTGGACAGTAACGCATTACTTAGTAACATTACTTATGTGCGTGCTCACGAATCCTCTCATTATAACACACGAATTGTAGACATTATGAAAGGTTAATTATGCATATATTTATTGTGTATAACAGAGATTTGTGAGATTGTGATGAACTGAGATGTCTTTTAGAGATTATAAATGCAGCGCACTTTGCTGGCATTCTGCCATGCCAAACCATGCACGCAGCAGCCGCTTGGTTTAGTTAAAAATAACAGTGTTCTGTGAATGTTGATGCTTTAATAACAAATATATCGGGGGCATGTATGCTGGGATTTCATACATTTCATGGAGAAAAAAGTAATGTAACTAGTAATGTAACTAATTACTAATTACTTTTGAAATAAAGTAATCAGAACAGTAACGTGATTACTTTTAAAAGGAGCAATCAGTAATCAGTAATTTGATTACATTTTCAGAGTAACTTGCCCAACACTGGTGAGAACATGCGTGTAGCGTGACTGTTTGTCGGGGATAGCAACAGTAACTAAGGAGGGTGTGTCTTTGCGAACGGTCAATTAAGACATCACTAACAGGTAAAGTAAAATATAACGAGTATATAGTCTAATATTTGGCGAAATGCTCTTCGCTAGGCTTCATTTCTCTGGCGAACTAACGAGCTGTGGACACTGATGACTTGCCTGAGGTAAATGAAATGCTACGTGACATTTTGTTTTGACGTCTTTCCGCAGTTGAAACCCTGATTGAGCGATTACGTGAGGCGTGAGATGTTCATTCATGTTTATTTCACGTTAAAACTAGCAGTAACTGAGGCGTTTATACAGCGATCTGTTGCGCCACATCAAAGTGCGTCAAAACGGCATTTACTGTCTGAATTTCCTGAAAAAAAAAGGACATCATTTGAAAGATGAGACTCTTGATTCTTGTCAAAAGTAACAAAATATAAAGCTGGAAGTTTCCAGAGAAGCTCCAGTCGTGCAGTGGCTAAAACAACGCTGTATTTGTTCGGTACACATGTGCACCGAACCGAAAGACCCGCACCGTTGCACCCCTAATCCAGATCCATTACATTCAGGGTTTGAAATTACCAACAGCTGTGGCGGGTAACGCTGTCAAATCACTAGCCAATTTGGGGGGTTACTTTTCGTAAGTTATGTTCACTCAATAATTTCTTGGGGAAGTTCATGCAAGCCAAATCAGCACAGGTTTAGCGCAAATACTGAACTCCTGAGACATCATGGCATTATTGAGTAGCCTATATTGCAAAAACCAAACAAAACACACCTACAAAGGCACGCATAAGCGACTACACTAACTTAGTGCGTGTGAGCATTTAGAGTGCGTTCTTTCACTGCATGATTCAGTCTATTAATATTCATTAAGAACCATCACATAATTCAAGATAAGGGGGCAGAAAATGTATATTTATATCATTTCAATTTATATATTAGTTAATCAATATCACACAAAGAGTGCAGTTTTAAACAAAAAATCAGCATGGTTACAAATGTGATATTGATTTTATACAGCAATTCAGTAAACTATAAGTTAATATTAAGAGACTTACATTTTAGACAGCATATTGGCTGTTTTTACTCTATTTCGCCAACAAAAATCATACCAAACACAGCCACAGCACTGTTTTGCGTCTCTGAGCAACATGAGGGCGATTCTTGTTCCTGAATGAATCACCCGTTTAAATGATTCGGTTCAATCGCAATGACTCACTTATTAACAGTGACTTGCTGCCGCCTACTGGCGGTTTTAATTTCGTATTTAAAGTATCTTTTCATTTTTTAAATAATTTCAAATATCAGTATTCAACATTTCATGTTTAAAATATCAAAACATTATTTATGCATGTGTAACTGCAGGTTAAAGCATTCCATGTCCCTCTGAGCTGCATTAACGTGTAAACACATCTAAATGCCACTTCATATGCAGCTTCTGCAAAGATAAATTTTGATACTGATTTCATTTGTTTAGTAACAGCCTAAATGTATTATTGTTATAATTGACTGATTACACGTAAGAATTTGACTCAAAAGATGATGCACAGTTTTATAAAAAATGGCTTTATAACAGTAAAAATGCCCATAAAAGGTCAAAATCAATTTAAATCAATTTCCCAGAAAATATTGAGATATAATTTTTTGTCAATATCGCACACCCCTAGTACTGACACAAAATGATTTGCAACGGTCGCTTTGTCACGTCCAGTGTAGACGGCCTCAAACTGTTGGTTTATTTCTGGGTTTTTTTGGCTAGTAGAAGTTATGAATGGCCGGTAACTTAAAAATGTAGTAGCCAAATTGGCTGGTGAGTGAAAAAGTTAATTCCAATCCCTGATTACATTCATGTCCTATTGATGGGGCAGTTGCTTCTTTGCTCTTATTTCATACAGACTGCTTATTTGTCTTCAATAAGAGCTTAAAAACATTTGACCTATAAAAACCTAGTATTTTTACTTTGATATCAAAATTCAAGAATATCAAGAATATTGAGAACTGTAAAATTTCCCTGGAATTTAAAATTGTTATCATAAAAACTGTATTTCCATGGAGAATAACTACAGTATATTATGATGAAATTAAATCACTCATGCTATTCTGATAAAACCTTGTTGCCTTAATAAAATCTGTGAAGAGACAGTCATCATCTCTTTTGATATGGTGACAGCTTCTGATCACCAGACCGAATGAAAACTACTGTTTCTGACATCTTGGAAGCAGCAATTTATGTGGCCCAAAAATGATAAATAAACAAGAGCTACTTTTCATTTTATGTTGCAGTGCAGTGAAAATGTTGTCAACTGTGCAGCAGCCCTCAGGAGACCTGGGCCCGTATTCATGATAAATCTTAGTGCTAAGAGTTGCTCCTAGTAACAAAATTATAAGAAACTGCTACCCCAGATAGTCACGCAGTGTGAAAACAATGGCGATCCGACGAGTTTGAAAATCGTGCAGTGTGAACTCGGCATTAAAGACTGTGTCATAGCTAGCAACAGGGTCAGCCCTGCCTCCTCACTAAGACGAAAGTTTTTTTCTAATGCCATAGCGCCAGAAATGAAAGTAATCACTACATTAACTACGGCCACGTTCACACTGTCAGGTTCAGGGATAGACAACCGCATTTCCTTACAGTCTCGAAATGTCCCGTTCAAACAGCAGCTTACTGTACATTAGCGTCTTGAATACTGTCTGTATGAACGTGCAACGAGAGTCAAGCCCGTATGCGCTCGCATCCTTTTCTGCGTCTCGCGCATGACACTGCATTTGAGGCACGCACAGAACACAAAACTGACGGAAACTGCTCCAGTGGAGAACAGTGACTGGATCTAAAACCTTCAGATGACACACAGCTCATTTCTGCGTCGCTGTAACTTATGCCGAGTTACTCTCAGATTGGTCCTGAATCGCTCTTAAGCTAAGACTCCTACGTAGAAATGTTTAAGCTACATTAGGAGCTCTCCGAGAGGATTCTTAGAGTCTTTAAGAACACGAGCCCTGGACTGTAAGTCCCATAACCATGACTCCACTATCCTTTCCACAGAACCGGCACAGACATCCGTTTGTGTTGAGCACTGACATGACAAATCCTAGCTATTACATCACAACACCCAATGTGTAAGAGTGCACACAATACCTCAGAATATTTAGACAGACGTTGCCTTCGAGGTCAATGTTGGGGTGATAGACCATCGTTTCACATTTGACTTTAGGAGGGTCGTGAGGGTATCCCTGTCCTACCTGAAAAAAAAACACCTCGACTTTAACCACTGCTGAAGAGTAATCGCACACGCTTTTAAAACATCATTCACAACCACTACAACTGGTTACTTTTCAGTACAAGCATCCTATTTAAAGCAAAAACAATGCTGTGACCAAACGTGTCAGCTCTGACGGAGCATAGATCTGAAAATGACAAAGAAATAAACAAACATGTACAAAACAAACTGTGATTAGCAAGATAAGAAGCTTGTTAAAGAAAAGAAATGTACACAGCTTGGCTAATAATGGGTGAAAAAACATTACATTGATGACAAATCCTTTACGTTATTCTGCCATAACAGGTTTAAGCTTCGGTGTGTCATAACACAAGCTAACTGTTCCAGATGTGCTTGTGCGTGTTTTCCTGCAGTGCTGTGACATGTGGAAGTACAGCTTCTGATCTGCTCACACTTATATGATTACATTGATAGATACTGATCTGCCGTGGCTCTTTAGTTGAGTGTCCACTGAACCTGAGGTGCTGTTTACCTTAAAACTGAAGACAAATTTCCCACCTTTATAGAAACCCTGCAAAAGAACAACACAGAAAATGATGAATGCTCATGAACTATACGAGACGGAGTAACATGCTGCTATGAGAGGACTCTGCATGAGCAACAGCACAGATCCGCAGGCTACTGGGACGCCTGAATAACCACAGCATCACAGACTTGATCAACTCCAACTCCGCTTATCTATTCCAATGTGATATCAAAACATATTTACTTTGCAAAACATTTAACTGCTGCTGAATACCATGAACAAAAAATAGCAGGCTACACAAAAAACTGGACTCGATTAAGAGCTGTTTGTGTGCAAAATAGAGCTGCACCATTCTGGATAAATTGAGATTTTTTTTTTTTAATGGAGGTTGTAGTTCTCTCACAATTCTGAAGGAAAGATATTAGACAACTAAACAAAATCTGATGGAATTTATGAATGGAATGATTCAATGACTCGCTCGAGATTTACTCGTTTCATTACTGGACGAATCAGTGCTTTTGAATGAATCTCTAGAACGAATGATTCAAAGACAAATGCATTCTAACAGCAAAAACATGTGCACACAGGAATCGATAGGTGGCATTGAAATTTGAATTTTACAACAAGTCTGTGATTCTGGAATCCCCAACCCTAAGCCTGAGTGATCTGTGCTCCGTTCATTCAGTCCCGGTCGATGCCGTATGCTCTGCGAGACAAACACTCAGAGAGAGGGAAGCCTGCAGACCTCGTCTGGGGAGATGATGAGCTTGAAGTTGAGCAGGTCGTCCTGGTCGGGGAACACGATCTCACACGTCTTTGGCAGGTTCAGCTCATTGATGTCTGACACAGAACAAACAGCAGCAGCATTACTTTCACTTTCACACACACATGATGCTAACGACGGAGCGTTCATTATGAAGGGTTTGTGATGATTGCGGTTAAATCTGATCAGAGAGCCCAATCGTTCAGACTGGAGACATGACCCTTGCCTGACGGTGGGATTTCTGCTCAGTAGATTGACAGCTGTGCTGATTTAAATCATTTTAATTAGCAGAAGAGTGAATCAGGATTTCTGAGAGCCGCAGAAGCCCTGATTACAGATATACGGGCTGACATGTCCCTCATGTTCATGTTTCAAATCAATCCACTTCCAGTGCGTTCACATTAAAGCTGAGGTGTTTGGTAGATCAGTACATTATTGACCTAGCTTACAGAATATGGACATGAACTTTTTGCTGATCGTGATAAAGCCCGTTGTGTTTACATGCGCGTTTGTTTATAAAAGAGGGAATCTCAGCAATATTTCAGCCCGTTATGCTACAACGTAAGACAGCTAGTGGTTGAAGCGAGTACTGCAGTCCAAATTCAGGATATTGGAGAGCGTTGTTTATCGATGGATGCCGAGGCTTTTTAGGTCGGGTAGAATCTGTGATCTCTGACCCAGTTTGTTTGCTGGCTTCAATGGCTGCAATACGCTGTGTTTTCCACCAACTGGCAACCCGGGGTGTAGAAATACTATTGGCTAAACTGTCAGTGGGCGGAGTCACAGACCAGAACAAAAACAGACATTCCGGCACTGAACGCACATTTCCCAGCAGAATACCTGATGCAGTGTTGCTTTTCAGAGAAACAAGTGTGTGAACCTAGAATATCTCCTTAATATCTGCAAATGTGTTATGGTGTTTTTATGCTTCAGTACAGTTAAAATTTTACTTACAGCACTTTTAAACAGTATTAATTAATGGCCACCTGGAATGAAAAAACTGAAGGCCAACTGATCAATAATTCACATTCAAAATGCTAAGCAAGTGCTACTTGGTTTACAGTAGCGCTGCATGAGTCAAGAAACTCTAATTGCTATTTTTTCTGATACAAATTGTGAATGTGTTTCATAAAAGCACAGTGGTGTGCTTCACACATGCTGTTTTGTGAGAGTCTTGCTCATTTAAAGTGGTTGCGCACCCAAAATACTGTAAAACGTGCAGTGCATATATTTATTTCATTAAATCGCAGCCTTTGTGTTCTGATCATCACACCATTATTAAATGCATCGATTTAAGAAAAAACTCTGATTGAGGGATTTAAAGTCTTGACATCTGGCAACCGCAATGCTTGTGGAGGCTCGTTACTAATGCAGAGCAACAAATGCAATAATGCAAATAGGAACTAAAAATGGAAGATTTTCAGGATAAATAATGTCCCACAGAGAATTCTGCTTAAACTGAGAAGAGCAGAAATCGTGATCTGAACTGAACCAACAGTGACCTGCCTCGAGCTCAATAATGACACTATTGGGCTTTTCAGAAATGACATAAATATGAGTAAATTCAACACTTGCGCACACACAAAAATACATGTTATGAAGGCCTATTTAAATACATTTATGTTTTATTTCATACATTGTCACATTAAATGGCTTGCTAACTACTTAATTTAGTTATTCCTAAACACAATTTCAGAGGAGTATCATCAGCATCCCTCTGAGAGATGAGCTTTATGAGCACAGTCCAGCACAGCTTCAACGCTTCAGAACACATGCTGGAGACACGGTCGCTTTAGAAGAACAGATTTAATGTAGGATTAATTCAGAAATAAACTCTGAGCCACGCATGATCAACAAACCGCGACTGACCTTCTGCACCATGAGCTCAATGTTTATATGTGAACCATGTGTTCTTCATATAAAACCAGTGTGTCTTCAGAAAACCACCCAGTTCATACGGATTCGTGTCAGAAAGACAGGGACAGACATCTCTCATGTTTCATTAAAACACCCTCAATTTGTGTTTAGAAGATAAACGAAAGGTAGAGTGGTCAACTATCCCTGGAGCTTGTGTTAATGTTTGAGTCATATGGGTGTTGTGCTGCAGAAGAGCAGGTTTATTGCTCCCTGAGCTGCCGAGAGTCCAGCAGATGAACACAGAAGCCACAGCAGGCCCACATCTGTCCAGCTGTGCCGCTAAATACTCACACATCAAACTCTAGGCCTCAATGTTTGCTCTGACAGAAAACGAGCGTTTCTCCCGTGATGTGAGACTTTAGACAGGAGCTTCAGTCCCAGCGACTGCTCTGAAGTGTCCAAACATCGAGTAGCGTTATATAATAACAGTGAAGCAGCGCAGACTAACTGAAGAGTGTGCTAATACATGCTAGCGCGGCGGCTAATGCTAGTTTCGCTGTCCTCCTCATCGCTACGAGAACATGTCTGTGAACAGTCTGGACTGGCAGCACGACCCTGAGTGTGTGTGTGTGTGTGTGTGATAAGTGAAGGTCTGTGGTGGTGTGCTCTCGTACCCTTCTGTATCCGCAGCTGGGCCGCGCTCGCCTTCTTTCCGCCGGCTCCGGCTCTCGTTCCTCCGGCGGACTCCTCGTCCTTCTTCTGCTGCTTCAGCGAGAAAAGCTTGATCATCTTCGCTGTGTTCTGCGCTAAACACACGCCTGATCTGATGCCGCTGCTGTGTGTGTGTGTGTGTGTGTGTTACAGGGGACTGTGCGGGTGTGTTTACAGCAGCTGCTGCAGAGGGAGCCGGTGTGTGTGTGTGTGTGTTAGCTGCTAATGCTAGCCGC